GACTACCGATTGCGTTTTCACGATTACGCAACGAATTACGTTCGATCGATCGTCGATTGCCAACTGTATTTACCACAAAGTATAGACGCTGTGACGAGAAGGAAACCGTCGATTCCGTGTTGTCGATGGCCTTCGATCTTAACGAAGATCGACGAAATGATGGAAATCGAAACGTACGATTCCAAGGATCGCGCGCAATTCCTCGGTCTGGTAATTTGTAGCGGTAAGCACGGCCATTGTCCTGCGTAGATCTATTCTCCGATACCCGACGCGATCCCGTCGATAAATTTATCGCAAGCAGCTGCCACAGGAGTAACGATAAATAAATTTCCAGGCATTTATTTATCCCGAAGACTTTCTAAGGAGTGTCGACGGCTGTGCACCGTCGTGTTCTGCAAGGCGTGAATACGAGATGATGTCATGCAGGCGTTGCACCTTCTCCCTGTGTTAACGACCAGCAACTGTGCGTCGGAGAACTTCTGGATGATCTCATTGGTTAGCGCCGAACGAACGATGTCAAAGTGCGCGTGACTCGATTCGTTCGTTTCTTCTATCTCTACGGACTGTTAAACTTTCCGTCCCGGCGGTTTTCCATTTCCATTGTTCCCGTTAATCGTTAGCGATTCTTTTTACGAACCGTCCAGAACGTTGCCCGGCGTTGGAGACCGACTCGTAACTCTGTCTGGTCCTCTGACTCTGTCTATCTCGGACCACCCGCGAAAGAAAAGAGAACAAGCAAGGGGCGCTGGTGAAACATCGATCGTAAATTATGTATCTGTGAATCGCGGTGCAGACCGGTGCCTAAAGCGTACCGAATCGACCGATTATCGAAGGAAGACGGGCAAACCGTCCACTCTGATTCATCCGAGACGTCGAATTTTAGGGTATTGGAGTATTAAAGGATTCGACCGAGAGTTTCCAACAACTTTACGTATCACCGAGGCTGATTCGAACATGTTCGCCTCGGCGAAATGTTTACCAAACATAGATATATTTAAAAATCGTGTCATTCGCGATAAACGAAAAACTAAAGCGAGTTAGCGAGCATCGTTTTCCAAGATATACAAATAGGTCACGCGCGGAAGAACATGTTTTCGCTCGACATTTGAATAGGAAATTTTTATCGAACGAGCTTCTAGTCGGCCAGTTACGTCATGTATTTTTTTTCCTCGACGTCGATCGGGCCTAATTTTTATTTCAGGGTCACGCTATGACAACGTTACAGAGATAAGCCCCCGTTCGGCAAATATCTAGCATCGAGTGCCGTAGAAAGGATTTTAACAAAGACGGAGCACGTATCTTTGCCTCGTATTCGACCAACCGGATTGTTCAAACAGAGGCGAAACACGATCAAAGTTACGTGCTTCGTGGGTAAATCTTAGACAGGAATTTCCTACCGATTCTATACGTAAGATCTTTTAATCAGATAGCAGGCGACATTGCCACGATAAAATACAGAATGATCGGAAGCGAAACGAGAGGAAGCTTCCGCGACGAGTCGGGGTGAATTATATTGGAACGAGTTGTGGGTTTCGCGAGCACTTTTTCTTGGCCGTCGGCCAATTTCTGCTATAGGAAGAACTTTCGTTTCGTTATCGGGTTAATACTTGGGAACGAGAGGATCCCCCTTCGCTCGAAACGACGAAACCACCTGGAATTGAAATATCTGTCAGAGAGTCGGAACAAATTTCGCGAAAGAATTTTCGTTGTATCGTTGTTATGGTGGAGCGTACTGAAACAACCATTCGTTGCTAGTCACCGGGGAACATCGATAAATCACTTATCTTGACGACGATAAGACAATTCCGACCGACGGAGGCTGCTAGCTGTAAATGCCGATCTAGCCGCGATAACGATCCTCGTTGCGAGTAAAACGAACAAACGTTTAACCAATGATTCCGACTATGCCAGACAATTAAGACCACTAGAAGAAATACTCGGGCAGAGAGGGATCGTTCGGGTCATCTTACGCTACTCTCTACAAATCAATTATCGTTAAGAGGCTTCGATACGATCGGCGATTAATAAAGCTTGGTAACGCGGACGAGAAAATACAATGCACGAGATCCCGCGGGATATCGAACGGATGAACAAAGATTTTGGAAACGGCACGTATTTAAAAAAATGCAGAATTGTATAGAAATTGCGGGTAGTACTAAAAGTTGATTTCGTTACGCCGTGTGAATGAATTAACGCGTCTATTAAAAGCAATTTAATAGACGCAGGTGTATCATTGTTCGATTAACGCGTCCCCAGGTGTCCCGGGCGATGGTCGTTCGTATCAATTAGCCCCGTGGGCGCGAATCCTTTCTTAGAAGTTACGAGCGTGTATTATCGATGACGATCGCGGTCGGCTTACGGCTTACGGCCTCCCATGCCGAATGACTGCGTCCGGCGATGCCACTGGCAGACAGCTTGGCAGCGAGGCGATCCCTTTCTCGGAACGACGTACTCGCGATTTGTATGGACATCGGCTACCAACTCCCCTCGTATCTTGTGCATTTTCGCCTCGGTATCTGGCTAACTTAAAATTACCGTGGGAATGGATGCTCGAACCGGTATAACGTGCATGTGCGCTCGCATGTGCACCGGAGTATGCAAGAAATCTGGGAGGCGCCGGAAACCGAAGGTCGAAATACTACCTTTACGAGCGTACGCGCGACTCTTTCCAACGAGAACCAGACGCGGAATCGACCGATCGAAAATGTAAACTTCTCTTCGTCGCCGGATCATTGTCAGTTGTCAAGTTTACGATCGAAAATACGCGATCCTGATTTCCATAATGGTAATGACAGGCTTCCTCGAGCCCTATCTCTAAACGGACCACCGCTAGGATTTTTGGGTGGTCCGAGATTGTTCGGGCCCGTGGCCCGAGCTCGATGTTTAATAACAGGAGGTGCACCGAAAGTGCATCGTGCGATGCAAGCTACGTTTAAGGCCGCTAAAAATATTTTCCTCGAGCCCTTTTTTTACACAATTTCCGGCTGAAAGGTTTACACCTCCGAGGAGACTGTTTGCTCGGGCCAATTTATAACGGCGATCGTTGGTCGACGGCACGAACGTTTTCGAGTAAAAATCGAGAGAGTACCGATCGCGGGATGTAATTGTTCGGTTCGTTACCGTGAAAATTCGTGCCAAGCACACATCTTTTTTCCAGCTGGCGTGCGCGCGAGTCTAATATTTTATAGCGGCGGACAGACGATGCACGATAATGCGCTTAACGACCGTCCTCGTTCCTATACGCAGACTGCATACAAACAAGCTCCCGATCGCTCCTCGTGATCTTTGCACCGTTTCGATCGGACGCGAAAGAATTTTCCATTAAATTCGAATCGTCGCTCGTTGGAATTTTAGGAATCGAGCGGGAATAAATCATCGAAAGCAGCGATACCGCGCGACGAACGCGACGCGTCGCGCGATTAATCATCGGCAAACCGAAGGAAAATGACTTTCGTTCGACCGTAAAACACGAGTGTGGTCTAGTTTATGGAATAGTTGTGACGTTATCGGTGTTGGAAGCGTTTTATCGAGTGTTGCGACGAAACGCGAAATCCTTGAGCGCGTCTAACCGGTTAATAGAATAAACGCCGTGTCGATGACCCCGTCCGGGGTTTTTTTTATCGCGAATTTTCACATGCTCGCTCGCTGTCGATGATCGGAACCGGTGACCCCCGATACGAGCGTCGTAAAACTCGTCTCGATTCTCCGAAATTTATTTCTCTCCTCCCGCGTCTCCGATCGTTTGTTTTCTCGCCGATTATCATTGCGGCGCGACGCGGCGTTCGCTATTCAATTTAATTGTTCTCCGTCCAGCGAATCGCGGAGAGACTCTATTGTTATATGCTCGCGTTTACTCATCCGTACCCGTAACAAGATTCGACGCGTGCCCCGGCAACGACCACGCGATACGCGTCAAACGGTTTCTTTTCGTCGATTTACCTAAACCCCTTGGCGGCATTAGATAACACAAGTACGCTTTATTGACCTTGTTATCGAAATCAAAGAGAACGAAAGATTCTCGGTAACTAAAATTCTAGGATTTATAGACGACGTCTGGTCAAGCCCTTTTTGCCAATATGTCTGCACCTAGCAAAAAGACGATCGCTGCCGAGTTGCAAGACGAGAAGTCGTAGCGTTTTACTGCACCATCGACGAGCACTCGAGTATCGTGCACCGAATGGCGAGTAATAATTTTTTTTATTATCGCGGTACGTCGTGCGTTTATGGAAGTAAACCTCGTCGTTTCCCCCCGGTGGATGCTTCGTCCTCGATTCTGTGCGATCCGATGTGAGCATACGTTATCAAGTATCACAAACATTCTATCGTCAATTTTATTCGCGAATAAAGCTGTCGATTACGTCGAAACGTGCCGCGATTAAAAGGTCGTCGAATCGTTTTCGAATCTCGAGTGCGTCGATCCGAGGAGTGTTTTTCTGTACGCGTTCGCGACGCGTCTGCCGAACGAGATCGCGAATGCAGCACATGTGCATACGTAGGTAGAATAAACGAGAGGCAGGCGAGAAAGGAACGGGGCAGACGGCCTCGAGTTTCGAGTGTCCATCGACGAAAAGGCTCCTGGCAGCTGGCAAAGTCGAGAGCGCGAACGAACCTCGGATAAATCTTCCCCGATTCGAGTCGCTGCCTAAGTATCGTGCGTACACGTGCCCGCGGCCCAAACGATTGTTTCTATTAAGCGGCACGAGATCAAACGATCCAGATGTTACGGACGACCGTTAAGTAGGTCTCGGATTGTTCCCTCTCCGAGCGGTTCGTCCGGCAAAGAAGGTGCCTCGCGTTCGAGATGCAAATTCGCTTATTAACGTTTATCCTCGGTATAAAAATCGGCCACCCACGATCGAAAAAACGAAAATGCCCGTCGTTCCCGTCGATCCCCGGGCGAGACGATGCCGTATATTTAGTGTCCCCGGCTCGTGATTCGGAAATAGCAATTGCAGCCGTCCCTAGTAATGATCGATCGTAACGTTTGTCGTTTGGTTCAGGACTATGCCGAGCACGAGGATGAGGAAGAGGAGGAGGAGACCACGTTCACCGCATCGACTCCGACGTCGACCACCACGACCACCACCACGAGCACCACCACCCCCAGGCCCGTGGTCAACAAAAATTACGATTACAGAGATTCGAGGACGTACGATAGCAATACCGGGTCTCGGTACAACGGGTACCAATCGAAACACGATTACCCGCCGATGTCGGCGCACAGCATCCACAAGTGGCAGTCTCTGGGCACTCGAGAGAGCGTCAAAGAAACCAGAAGCAACATGCAGCGGTACAACAAAAACGGAAAGAGTGAGTTTCCTGCGGTTTATGATTTCTGCGCGCATACCCACCACGGTGCATCGCGTCCCCCAACGAAAATCATTCGCGCCAGTTTACGGGACCGCGATCGAGATACCTTGCCGTCGATTTATGCAAATATTTCCGGAGCACCCCACCTGTTCGCTCGATATATTCTTATCGATCGTCGTTAAATCTACGACGGTGGTCCCGCGATCGTGTCTCCTCGTCCAAGCTATTACCTCCTAGCCAATTATTCCTCGAACGTAAATACGTCGGATAATTATCCAGTCGGTCGTTAACGTCCGTCCCCCGAGAAATTAATAAGGCAAAATATCGAGTGTATAAAAGGTACGTGCAACGGGTGGAAATCGAGCTCGAAGATTGCCGGCTACGAGCGGACTAACGCGTGTTTTTCCATTAGTAATCGCGTGATTTGCTTTCTACCAGTCCGACATCGAGTTACGCTACGTTTCATCCTGCATGGATGCATCGACGCTTATTACGAATTCCAGGCTGTCGTATGCTCGATATCGTTGGCATCGGTTGCACCAAAATTGCGCAGTACGTAGCGATCCATACGTGCTTCGAGCCATTCTCCGGACGGCTCTTCCTTTTCGATCGACCGCTGAATAATTCGCGGCAAGAGCAACGCTCGAACGCGCGCAACCAACCAGAGAGAGAGAAAGAGACCGGAATGCCAAACGATCTATTAATATGCAAATTAATGACGACGATTGCGCCTAAGCCACCGCGGTTGCGGCAATTTCAACCGCCCCCGGTACGAACTCTCGTGTTCCATGCGAGATATCTACGGTACGCGCACGTGCGCGATCCAAGCGCGTTATTTAACACGAACGTGACGCGCGGTGGCCCAGATTCCTCAAAACTTCAACCATCATACGTTAATGACGTTCTTATTTACACGTCTTCCGTCAGAAATTTCTCACAATTACGAAACCGTGCTGTCTGGGTTGGGTCTAGCGACTTTACGCGTCGCGTGCGCATATATTTCTATGGCGCGGTTAAATTATACGTTTCCGTTGCGAGTTAACGCGCTTCAACGCACCTGAAACCGCCCTGCACGCTCCAACGATACGTCGAGCCGCGATAATTGACAGCTTCGCGCGAAAACAATCGATTTGCCGGATGAAAAAGTAACGGGCGACTATTAAATCCCCTTTTCTTCGCGATACGTTCGAACGCGGGATGTTCAACGACCTGGCACGCGGCATACTTGGAAATCTCTGACGGTCGTCGTGCCGCTAATGTAAACGCGCCGATAGAATCGCTCGTGTCGGTGCAGTCCGGGCGAGAGTAACGCCTACGTCGGAAATTAGCATAGCCAGATCCTAGGCGAAGATTAAACCAGAAAATAATTGCGCCTCGGGCGTGGGTTCCGAAACTCGGTCCCTAAATTGTTTTCGGGGATCTCCGTCGTCTTTGGTCACGCTCTTCGTCGAAAGAGAGCCTTGGAAATCGAGATCCCGGCGGCGGGAACGCGTTTCCTCGCGAATACGATCACTTTTTGCCGCAAACCACAGCTCTCAATGTCTCGAGCACCGCACGTTTCGTTTGCTGGTAATCGTGCGTTTACCGATACGTACTAAACGCGTCGTCCGGTTAAGCGCGTAACGAGAGAAAACTAGTCCGAGGAGGAGAAAGAAATTTCCTCTCAAACGGTCCCGTTTCACGATTCGTTGTAAAAATAAAAGGGATGGAGCGTTATTTTCATCTGCTCCTTGCTTCTACACCGAGCCACAAACGATGGTTTAATGGACGGCGAGTGGTCGGTGTGAACGGGCACGGCGACATTCTCGATCGCCTCTGGGTTCGCTGATCGAACGGCAATAATTTTTGATTTAGGAACGACAGGCTCGCCGTGTCTGGTTCGTAACCGGCTTACGTCGAACTTGGCCCGATTAACCCCAACGACGATGCGGTTCGCCGACACTCGTTCGCGAACGGTCCGTAAACTTCCTAATTTATAATCGTACGGTACGGGAACGAATTCTTGCGCGTGCATATTTCTCTGCTTTGCTGTAATCTTCGAGAAATCGACCGTAGACAATGTGTACGTATTTGGGGAAAATTCGTGGTGCGACGATTCGATGCCAAAAGGTTCCCCAGCCCTGGTCCGAAAAAACTTTGCCGCGGCATTCTGCCAAAAATAACGCGACGCGACTCGTGATTCTTCAAACTCGCGAACCAGGGTCGAACGCGTAATAACAGTATCGCCGTGACCGTGATCTTTATTTCTTGCTACGAATCTTTCCTATTATCGCCATTGCTTGTTAACATTACATAGTCGGTGGTTAACTTAAGTTGAGAACTTGATGGCAAACATTGTGCGCGATTACAACTATATAAATATACAACCGATGTCTCGCGAGAAGTTATTGCCACGATTAGCGGTGGTTCTATTTTAACGCAGCCGTACGATCCATTGAAAGGACGCGCAATTAGCATCCAAGAATTCCGCTTTGCGTTTCGACTCGAGCGTGCCGTTTGTTGCAAAATTTATCGATCTCCATCCACAATGTACTTTCTCCCGTAGTCGTACGTACAAATTGCACCGGTAACGATAGCCGCGGCATAATTATCGACGACCCACGAAACGCTTAGAAAGCGATTAGGCATCCACGCGCTGAATCGATAGAAAGCTCGCACGACTTATGTCATCGCGCGCGTCGATTCTTCGCGAAATACCGGGAGAATCTTGCATTTTCGAGATTCCTGATTCTCTCGTTTGTAAAACGCAACGTTATCGAGTTTGTTGTTGGGGTGTTGTTTCAGCGTCGGAGATTCGCGAGGCTCTTCAACACGCTATGAAGGTGTCTCGAGAGGGTAGCTGCCAGTGGCCACGACCGAGGGTGATCCCGGTCCGTGACGTTTACCCGAGTCCATCGACCACCTACATTCCACACTGCGCCATCTTGCACAGGTGCTCGGACGACACCGGTTGCTGCAGATTGGAAGCGCTGACCTGCGTGCCCAAGCACTCGCATCGCGTCGAGCTCTCCTTTTACGTGAGTGAATCCTCGCTTCGTTTCGACGCGCAAATGAAATCGACATCAAACACCCGCGAATACGTTTGCTCGGGTTTCTATCGGACGATAAACGGTCGTAACGTCGTCTCGCGGTAGATTGTAAATCGTTCGCTCGGTAAAAAGACACGCGTTCCATCTGGCAAAACGATGAACGCCACGAAGCAACGAGGAAGACTTTATCGCCAAAGAGAAAGTACCATTAATCGTGTAAACTGTATTGCGAGGAATGTATTAGCGGGGACGTCCGAGAGTCGCGATATCCCAAGCAGAATTTATGGGATAAACTCTAGCCGCGAATATCGAGCTACGAATCTCTTGCGATTTCAAACATTCGACGGAGACGACGCGAATCGGAAAGAGATCTCGTAAATTTCTTCGGTGGAACTAATTTTCCTTAATTCGAGCTTTTATTTTACACGAACGCGACGTATCGGAGGTCCATGACCCACGCGACCATCGACTCACCCTTTTAGCAGAGTAATTGAAAATTATAACCATAACTGGACGGACGACACGCGTCCGCTCCCATGGCGATCGATCCAGCGCAGTTAACCACACACGACTATATTTATGCACGAAATCGATCCCCGAGAAAATTATTGGTTCTCCTACCTGTATATTACCTCTGGATCGTCATCGATGCGCGAGTTTAAGGTTCTTCCGCGTCGCGTTGGTACGGAACGTGTTCATACGCAACGTTCGATTATCTCGTCGCGACGGGGTTTAAACAATCCAAGAGCGAATCTTTCTCCCGCGACAAAGGACGAACACACCCGACCTATGAACCCCTTAGTTTCGCGAACTGATAGTCAGGATCGAGTAACCGCTGGCGTTTGCGGCTCATCTTACAACCCGATACTTTGCAGCGGTGTTTCGTTCCGTGATTACAGACCGCTTGGTCCGCGAGTACCCTTCGTCATCTTCTTCTTCTTCGTTCTCTTGGACTTCGCTCTTGGATCTAACCTAATTTCGGATGTACGATTCGGCTCGAGAAAGGAACTTCGTGGAAACTGCGCGGAGAAAACATGGTGTAACGTACTGTTGAATCGACGCGACGGAAACGTTTGCCGCTATCCATCCTGCACACTGACAAATCGCACTTCGTGGTACGAGTTACGGGTTCGCTGGACGCAACAAGACGGTCATAAATTTTCTGTGACCAACGCTCGTGCTCGGATCGAGTCGTTAAACTTTACGAGCATCTTAACGAATCGATTAATCCTGATGGATCTATCGCATTCCTACCGGATAGAAACCGCGCAAATACGATTAGATCGAACTACATTCCTAGACAATCTACCGAAGCGTCTTGCGACCGCGCGGTTTCTACGCGCGTTCAGTTTTTACGCCGGCGTGGGTATTAGGAATCAGGGTCACGGGGTTCTTCGGTGGAAAGTTTCGACTCGAGAGCAAATATGAACGTTCCTCGTTAAAAGGTCGCGTATGGCATTCGAGCGACGAGAAGGACAATCGGCCGCGGTATAAATCGCACAGAGCGTCGCGTCGGTGCAATTTACATTTCGTGGCGATTAGCGATCAGCTTTGCCACGCAGCATGAGCCATTAGCATAAGTTGTCGCGGTGTCCGTTGGCGGGAATCGATAGTGGGCCGCACAGTATCCTCGGATTGTTGCGAATCGTCGATATTATGGAAAATCGTGTTCACGTTACGCAAACCTTTCGGACCGATTTCTTTTATCTTCGATACGCTGTATCGGAAGTCTGTAATGGAGGACTAGAAAAGTACAAATTGCCATAAATTTGTATTATCTTGAGACACGGTCGGCCCACTGTGCACCGGCCGCTTCGGTTCGAACCAACTCTCGTCCACGGTTTCGTACCGTCGTTGGACAAGTTTCGCGCCTTACGATCCTACGGATCGTGTATTTCTGTCCCGCGGACCGAAACAACGACCAAGAGACCCCGAGTCTCGCGAGAAGTACACGTCTCGAGGTGATAAACGACCACGGGCACGTCATATTTCGTAAGTCGCGGTGCCGCACGCGCTCGCCAACCGGAATCTCGGAGTATCTTATTCGCACGCAACGCGTGGAGAGAGATTTTCAGCGACTTTGATCGCCGATGCAAGGAACAGAGCCGCTCGCCGGGACGATAAACGATCGAGCAAGATAAGAGACGTCGGAAGTCGCGAACGCGCGTTTCTCCCGCGTCGAACAGCAGAGTGTAAACGGTTTGAAACACGTCAGGCATTTCATAAAACGCGAAAACGTTAATTGCACGTCGAATAACCGACGCGTACTTTCTAAAACGTTACTTTATCTCGACAAGGATCGACCGATATGCCGTTTCCTCGCGCACCCACGCGGATCGCGGGCGGCCGCTCAAGAGCGAGAATTGATCGTGATAAATGTATAGGGGTCCAAGTCCACTGGGGGTCACCTCGGAGAGAAGGCTATAAATTTAATGGAGTACATTGGGTTTTTTCGTTGCGCCGCGCCGCGCCACGCCACGCCACGTCGTTCCTCGATAACGAACTCCATGGTATGCGAGCAATCCCGTATCTACGTATGCATATACACGCGCGAGTGTCAATTATCGAGTAGTTTCCAGTGGATGGATAGTCGACGATCGGCTTACACGTGCAGCTGCCGACGCCGATCGACTAATGCGCCGCCGGTTGCGAAACACGAAGATGTTAAACATTAACAACGGGAAAAGGAATACGTCTGCCAAAGGATCATTCTGCTCTATGCAACATGTTGCTGGTGGCGAGACGTCGCGCTCCAATTACGAATTATTTATATTTATCGAGAGTGCAACCCTGTTGGTGCCACCTGACGATCAGACTGCTCTTTAACGCTTACCCCTCGCGTGCTCGTGAAAAAGATCTATAGACGAGGCGACGACTCGTAGTCTGTCGCGGCGGTTTTCGCGAACGAGTCAGTGTCCGGAGCCAGGCCAAAGTTGGCCGCGTATCAAATTGGCCCCGTACACTATACGTACAACCGCTGGTTGTCGCGAGTGCGCGTGCACCTGCACGCCCCTAGGTACATTATACGAATATGCAGATGCTCGACAAACTGCGACACGAGGCGCGAACTTACGGTGTATTAATACCGGTATACCCGTGCTTCCGCGATACCGAAATATCATGATTTACGATCCATCTCTGAATCCGTGTGTTGGTCCGCGTGAAAGTAATTAGGTTAACGTCCGTCGATCGTTAAAACCTTCTGGAAACGTTAGATGCATCGCACGATGCGAACGCGGGAACCGAAAATATTATGAGGAACGATGACTCAACGAACGTATCGACGAAAAATGAAAGGCTGCTCGTCTTTTAACAAACTCGCCAGATAGATAATTCAAAGTAAAATGATGCTTCTTCAAAGCGTCCACACCATCGCCGGAATCGTCCTTATCGAACCACTATTCGTGTCCCGGTACCATTAGTTATCGCGAAAGCTTTAAAAGCGCTAGTCCCGGATCGTAATTCGGCCGGCTGTTGCAGCGAGTCTCTCTCTCTCGCTCACTTTTTTCCCTTTTCTCTGTATCTCTTCGTAGAAGCATCGTAAAAAGAATCGAGACATTTTTCTAAGAGGAATCATCGTACTGTTGCGTGTCCCAAACGACGAACCTAGCTCAACAAAGTACCATAAACGAGTACCTATCCCTGGACATTTGTGCATTTATTGCTTAAGAATACTACGTGGTTCGATAATCGCAACGAAGAGATATAGCAAGCTGCTTCCGATAAATGTTAATTTTGATTAGTTGGAATGATCGTTTCATCTGTGAGACGTGGCGATAACGTCGGCGCCTGAAAACTTATTAACCTCGAAACGAGAGTGCGGTTAATGGGTTTTAGGTAACTGAAGAGCGAGTAATCACGGAAAATTTGATGAAACCAGCGTCTACAACGAACTCATTGTCCAACGACGGGTGCTCGATCGGCAGGGTGGCAATCGAAAAAACAGAACTGTTCTGCTTCTCGTTATCGTTTTATCCCTTTCGAGACGAAATAAGCGTGGGGCCCTTCTCATCGAACTTTATCGCATCAAAAATCATCGAACGTCAAACACGATCGATCGATCAAATAATCCGTTACTGTCGTCGAGTCGCGAAGGAATCAATGGCGATTAACGATAAGCACCCGTCTGTAGCTCCTTTGCTACGACGATGGGGAATAAAACGATAACATCTTATCGTATAAATCGTAAATAATAGAAAGCCCGTTCGTGCGATTTCGGGGCATATTTGTATTTGGAAAGGAAGATGCACCTGCTAAGAGCCCCTAAAGAACTCCGTTTCGAGACAAGGGAGGGCACCTACATTCTCACGGAATGTGGTAGATCCCAATCGGTGGGACGAGGGCCGGTTATCGTTTTTAATGGTTTTCTCGAGTCGCCAGGCCGCTCGCTACCAGAATCAGTGACCACCGCGTCGTTGTTTCTGGGTAGTCGTGGACCCCACGCAAGATTAACGACGTGCCCGTGCCGACGGACCCGCGAATGCAGGCTCGCGCCACTACCCGACGTTTTAATGCGTCGTTGGCCTGGTTCTTATTTCAGAATTCCACCTGACCGAGGTTCGTTCCGACAGGTGCTGGCGAAAAGAATGTCGTCCCATCGGGCCTCCTTATCGTGTAAGCCTCTTACACGGCTACCTCGGGTTAAACTGTTCGAACGACGGAAAATCGACGACGCGTACAACCTTCGTGATCGAACAGGACGCTCGGGGAACCGAACTAGTTCTCACGCCTATCGATACAAATAATACGTACGTTCAGTACAAAGTCGTAACACGAACCGTGTTCGGGGAATCCGAAGTAACCGCGAGATTCCCGAACCGAAACCGATCCCTGCGGTGATTGTTTAGTTTGTCAGGGGAGGGAATAAAAAGGAGCGAACGACGAGGGCGCGGAACACACAAGTCGAACGTAGGGTGGCGGAGGAAGGTAGAGAGTCACGACTTCCTCTTCCGCTGGTCCGTGTAGCCTCGCCTACTCGCGCTGACCCC